AGGGAGGGAGGGAGGGAGGGAGGGAGGGAGACAGTCACTACCTTCATTCATTCAGTTAAGACACATTTGCTGAGCACTGACGAAGTACCAGGGACTACTCTAAGTGATGAGGATACATCCACTGGTCAAGCAAACAGACAACACCCTGCATCGTGTAGGGACACTCACTACACAAACACAGAAAATACACTATTGGGTAGTAATGTAAACCATGAAGAGACAGCCAGGCAAAGGTTGTACTTTAGAGGGAGTGGCCAGGAAAGGCCTCTCTGCAAGGAGGTGGTGTACGAGCCGTGAGACTATCTGGGGAAGCAATTCTGGCAGACACAGCAGGTGCAATGGTCCTGGGGCACAAACGTGCCATGCAAAGGCACCTTCATGCATTCACAGTCTAGTGCAGGGGCTGGGGGGAAGGACACATAGGTGGATCAAGAGCAGCTCATTGAGGGCTGTGGGCAGACAGAGAAAGTGCTATGGCCTCCGAGGAGCTGAAGAGAAAGGCAGGAGGTAGGATCTGTGTCTTTCATTTTTCTCTTTTGCCCAGGCATACTATCCCTGGTTCTCCAATGGCAGGAACAATACCCTTATTGTTCAATACCCAGACAGGCAGATGTGAGAAAGTCATACCTCCTTCCAGACACCCCACAGAAGTGTGCATGGCTGGAGGACTGGTCTTGCGTGGGCAAGGGTTGGAAAGGTGAATGGGGCGGACTGCAAAGGGCAATTTGCCATTCGAGGACTTAGAACCATAGCTTAAAAGTACAGGAGTCCGAGAGGAACTGAAAGAGGGAAGGTGAACTAGTGCTGTGCCTGAATGTTTGTGGCCCTCTCCAAATTCCTACTGAACCCTAATCCTAACCAATGTAATGGTATTAGGAGGTGAGGCCATTTCATGAGAATCTGCCAACACGAATGGTATTAGTAAAAGGGGCCAGCCCAGGGAAGCTGCCGTACCCCTTACACAGTGAGAAGACAGTTGTCTACGAACCAGAGCGTGAGCCCTCTCCAGGCACCAAAACTGCTGGCGCCTTGATCTTGGATCTCGGCCTCCAGAACTGTAGAAACAGTTTTCTATTGTTTATATGGAGTACTGAGTTTATGCTATTTTGAATCAGCAGCCTGAATGGACTAAGACAAATAGGTAGGCAACAGTGTGGGAGCTCTGATTAGGAGACTCAAAGGGGCAGGGGTCTGAGAATTTGAGGCTTTCTAGAATACAGACACATCTATAGCTGGCAACAAATCGGATCAGCATCTGTTAATGGAAGTGCCCCTCACTTTTTGTATGTGATAAAATCCACTTCGTGTTTGCAATATATAGTTGTAAAACACAACTCTTAACAACTCTCAATATATATTCATGATAGAAGTAAAACTGTTAATGGCAAATAGAAGTGTAATTCATTCACTTTTAATACAAAACACTTCACATTTCTAAGCTTCAACACAACCGCCATCTTTCATAGCATATTGTTCAATCCAATTTTCTAACTCGTTGAGAACATTCTCCAGTTGCTGCTGAGTGATTTCCTAAATTGCATTCGTGCTCCCTGTCCTAAGTTTCCCCAAAGAATGTGATTCTGATTAGCAAACAACAATTTTAACAAGCTTGCTTCTAACAAGTGTATATCCAAAGTCATTAATCCTTAAAGGTGCAAGAGGACTTTATAAATACCTCCTGCGTTCAAGGAAAATTTGGGGGAGCTTGTGCGATACGCACACTGATACTCAGCAATAAAAATACCTTCCTCCTTCCCTGCGGCGACGCTAAGAGAGTGTCCCACCGGGAATTGTTGTTCGAGTGATAAAGAACTGGTGGGGACTCGTGCAAGACTCGAGCAAGTCACAGAGGCCCTTCTCGGCCAAATGGAAAATTCATCAAGGCACGGGGAGGAGGGAGCAGGAAACAAGGCTCTGATCAGAGTGCCGGGGCAATGCTGAGTGCCAGCTTATCCCTCACTCTGCATTCAGAAAGATTCAGTGCTGCCACCCACGTCTCTTTGGTTGTGGAAAAATAGACATGACATAACATTTACCATTTATACCATTTTTAAGTGTATAGCTTGGTAGTGCTAAGTACGTACACACCGTTGTGCAACCATCACCACCATCCACATCCACTTCAACATCCTATACCAGGCACATTTTGCACACGCACTCTGGTGGGGAAACATTCAGGAGCCCACGTACAGCCCCATGCTCAGTGGATGACTTCATGTCCCAACCCCTGGAATCCAGAGCCCAGAGATGAGTTACTCTCACACAGCCGACTCTGTCTCCACTTTGCTATCCAGGACCTGTTATGGACTGAACCATGCCCCCCTCAAAGTTCCTATGTTCCAGCCCTCACCCAGCACCTTAGAACTGGAACAGAGAACCATTATTATTATTATTATTATTATTATTACAGAATCTCACTCTTGTTGCCCAGGCTGGAGTACAATGGCACTATTCTGGCTCACTGTAACCTCCACCTCCTGGGTTCAAGCAATTCTCCTGCCTCAGCCTCCGGAGTAGCTGGGATTACAGGCGCCCACCACCACCCATCCCTGATTTTTGCATTTTTAGTAGAGATGGGGTTTCACCACGTTGGCCAGGTTGGTCTCGAACTCCTCAGGTGATCTGCCTGCCTCAGCCTCCCAAAGTGCTGGGATTCCAGGCGTGAGCCACAGTTCCTGGCCGACACAGAACCTTTAGAGAGGTAATTACACTGAAATGAGGCCATGAGGGTGGGCCCTACTCTAATCTGACTGGTGTCTCTTCAGGAAGAGGAGGTTTGGATGCAGAGACATGAGGAGCAAAGGGTGAGAAGGCGACCATCGTCAGGCCAAGAAAGCCCTCGGGAGGAGCCGCACCTGCAGACGCATTGATCTCGCACACGCAGTCTCCGAAACTGTGTGGAAACAACCTGCCGCTGTGTAAGCCCCCCAGCCTGTGGCATTGTGAGGGCAGCCCTGGCTGGCCAACACAGGACTTCCAGAGCTTTCTTTCACAGTACCTTCTCTATCCCCCACCACAGGAACAGGTTCCTGCCTGCTGTCCTTCCCACAGGCCTCACTCCTTCCTGTCTGCACACCTCTGCTTCTACTATTTCTTTCAAAGGAACTGAATCCTATTCTCAGCCACTATAAACCCTTACCAGCCTGCAGGACCACAGGCTACTTCCAGCCAAGTCTGGCCCTCAGTGACCTTTCCAATCTCAGCTACCCACTTCTTCCATTTAAAAAAACTGATTGTCCTATGCCGGGCGCAGGGGCTCACGCCTGTAATCCCAGCACTCCGGGAAGCCAAGCGGGACAGATCCCTTGAGCCCAGGAGTTCGAGACCAGCCTGGGCAACATAGGGAGACCAGCCTGGACAACATGGCAAAGCCCCCTCCCTTCAAAAAAAACACAGAATGAGCTGGGCATGGTGGTGCTAGCCTGTAGTCACAGCTACCTGGGAGGCTGAGGCAAGAGAATCTCTTGAACCCAGGAGGTCAAGGCTGCAGTGAGCCGAGATTGCACCTGCTCTCCAGCCTGGGCAACAAAGCGAGACCCTATTTTAAAAAACAATAATAATAAAATAGATTGTCCTATATTGAAATTCCTTAAGCCTTGGGGTCTGTTGAACTTTTCCTATGCACTTAGTCTTGAATCCCTGCAGAGACAAATTCCTTATGGGCAAGAATGAAATCTGAACTTGTCTCTCTCTCTCACTCAGCCCAGCATGGGTGCTTATCTTCTCTGTGGCTGACTGCCATTCTCTGCAAGCAAAGACGTTTCATGCAGTAACACCTGCAGGAGCATCTACCTCAGTGTGCACAGAAGGGCTACAATGAGTGGGATAGGCTCATTGGCCTTAACAAGGCAAAAAACAGGAAGCTGACTGTGGGGCAGATGTGGGTGCCGTTTTAGAAAAACCAGTTCACAATGCTTTCGAAAAGGCCAGTCTAGACTACATAGGAAGTGTCAGTCGGCACACATGAGGTTACAGAATATACAGAAAAGATTCCAGAGTCATTCTACCTCCGTGGCTCCGTGTCTAAGCAAGAGCCAAAGAAAGCAAATCCCAGAAACACCACGTAAGAGTCGGGAGGGAAGCCAGATTCTAGACAACTAGTTTCAAAGGCAAGCCAGGCCTACATGAGTCTTCAGTGTTCATTCTGGTAAGAATCCATGAAACAACATTAGATTCTTGAAACCACAGTCTACCATGGAGCAAATCATTCTTAAATTCTAGAGTTTACTAGTAGGTGATCTCCAAACTGACAGATTAATATGTAAAGAGCAACAAAGCCTTCCCAAGAAAGCCCTATGTTGGTCCCAAGGACCTCACTTCTAACCTGTCATAGAGAAATGATGGAGGAAAAGAGCTGAAAGGCAAGGCCCAGGTTGCCAAGTGCCACCCTTTCATTGAAAAATGGCACACCATCTTTCCTATCTCCAGGGCCTGGTCCATCAGCAGTTTCTTGGTTATTAACTGTAATTACTAGTTCCGGAAAATTTGCAAAATTTGTCATCTGTTTCTCAATTCCCGAAAACATGGTACACTCCACTCACTGCAACACACTGAAATCATTTGTATATTTTCCTATCTTGACCTTGTATTTATGCAAAATTTCTCTAAAATGAATCTTCAGGGAAGCAGGGGACAGTGCGGAGGGGGAGGCGGAGCACCAGAGCAGGACAAGCTGAAAGCCATAAAGGCTTTCCTGAGCCAACTCGAAATGGCTCTGGGAAAGCAGAAATGACTTAAGACACAAACAAACTCACAGTTCGAACAAGTGCCTGCTAACTTCCGCATCGACTGCGCTGAGAGGATCGTCCAGGAGATAGATGTCAGCATCTTGATACACTGCTCTAGAAAATATAAAGAGATATCAGACTCTCACCCAGGACATGATAACTTTCAACATCTAGGATGTTCATTCAAGTGCCAGTAGAATAATCCAAGAAAGTGCTTCACACAGGATGCAATACACAGTAAGCGGGTCCTATGTGCTCACCACCATTAGAAGCAGCACAAAAGACAACTGCATAGTGGCTGCTGAAATGCAACTTACCTTGCAAGGTTTACCCGCGCTTTCTGCCCTCCACTCAGCGTGGTTCCCCGATCTCCTATCACAGTCAGATCACCATCCTCCAACAGCTGTAAATCCTATATGGACAAAGGAAAGAAGGCGGGAAAAAAAAGACTTAAAACATGTTCTCCCTCTGTTATCCTAAACTTTGCACATTAGTTCTTCAGAAATAAACAAGTATTTGATCAACAGCAATGGATATATTTCATAGGAACTAAATTGTAACTTTGAACCTATCAAATACACCATCAGGGCACGTTATCTGTTTTAATGCTGTAGCTTTTCATAGCATTTATGCACTGAGCCATTTTAACAGGAATGTTTTGAGTGCCAACTCCTTGTGAATTCAGCAGTGAAAGAGTTTCCACAGTGAGTGACCTGACAATAAAAGATTGACACAAATGCAAGAGGTGATAAGTGCTAAGAAGGAAAAGGAAGCTGGCTTAGGGAGACAGAGAGTGACAGAGGGAAAGTCCACTTCATATAGGGAGGTCAGCAAGGGCTCTGATCGAGGGGGTCTGAGCAGGGACCTGCCAGGGGATGGACTGGCTGGCACAGAGTGCAGGAAGATTGCTCCACATAGAGGAATAAGCAAGTGCAAAAGCCATGGGGTGATACGTGGCCAAGGTGCTCACAGAAGAGCAATATGGATGCCCGCAGAACTGTGAGCACAGGATGATGACAGGAGAGGCCAGAGACAGGCAAGAGAAGCCAAGGGCTCACACCCAGGGAAATAGGAGGAAGGACATGATCTGATCAAGGCAATAACTGAGACAAGAAACAATAGTAGCTGGGACCAGAGTGGGGATCAGGCAAGCAAACATCAGTGGTCATGTGCTGAACAAATTTTAAAGGTAGCACCTATAGGCTCTGCTGATGAGATGGGTGTGTGTTCTGATAGAAAAAGAGGAGGACTGCATTGGTTTTGGTATAAGACAAGGGAAGAACAGGATTACCATGTACTGAGCTGCGCGAAATGAGGGATGCAGATGTAAGAGATAAAAGCAAAAGGTTGATGATGGCCAAACTGAAATGCTGACCGGCAATCCTGACTTGCTGCTGCATAAGTGAGTCTGGAGGTCTGTGCTGGAGACCCAACTGTGAGGGCTGTCAGCATACAGACATGGGACTTATTAAGGAACAACTGTGTCTTCACAAGCCATTTTGCTGACTTTTACCTTAGCTTTCCATTCTCAGAGAAGCGATAACACCCGCCCCATCTTCACCGTGATACTTAAGGCATCACAATAGACTGACAGAAAAACTCTGTAAAAAATAAGAGCAGAAAGAGCAGCCCAGCCAGGAAAAGCCAAAGGGAAAGGAGCAGTGTGCTCCTGAGACACTGCACAGACTGGATGCACGAAGTAGACTCTTGTTCCATGCAAGCCCCCAGAAAACAAAAGCTAGGAAGGATAACAAGTTTTTATTTGAGGATCTAGCCAAAGTTATATTTAAAAATTATTTAAGAAATAAGTTGACAAAGCATAATACTTAAAAAAAAAAAAAAAACATGACAAGAACATACCTGAAAATAACAGGATAATGATCAGGTTTAAGTTACATGACATTACGTTAGAAATCTTTACTTGGGGCTGGGTGCGGTGGCTCACGCCTGTAATCCCAGCAGTTCGGGAGGCCGAGACGGGTGGATCATGAGGTCAGGAGATCAAGACCATCCTGGCTAACATGGTGAAACCCTATCTCTACTAAAAATACAAAAAATTGGCCAGATGTAGTGGCGGGCGCCTGTAGTCCCAGCTACTCAGGAGGCTGAGGCAGGAGAATGGCGTGAACCCGGGAGGCGGAACTTGCAGTGAGCCGAGATTGCACCACTGCACTCCAGCCTGGGGGACAGAGAGAGACTCTGTCAAAAAAAAAAAAAAGAAAACTTTACTTGGATGGCCTATAATTATCACTAGACAGATCCTGGCATAAACAAACGAAGTGTGGAGAAGATCGCTGGGTACTGACTGAGCTTCATAAGCATCAACCTAGGACACTACAGAGATAGCCCTCTTACAGATCAAGGTGTCACTTCTTTGTCTCTACTCTGACAAAGCCAGGGAGACAAAGCAAACGGCACATTGAGATCTCCATGACAAGTAAGTGTTCTGACCTCCCTAAGTTCTCATTTTATCTCTTTTACAAAATGTCCTAGAGAAACAAGAATTAATCAACTCATACAATGCTGAAGCAATCTAAAGTAAGTGTATGAACTAAGTGGAAAAAGGATCTGAGTTCTTTATAATTTGCTGTTGATGACTATGACATATTTTCTGATCAAACCAACAGCAGGACCCCATTCATAGCATGAATCTCACTAAATAAAGTACATCACCAAATGGAAAAAAGATAGTATCTCCATTGGAGCCCACTCCCTGGCAGCCCACAAAGACACACAGGAGTCCCCTAAAACTCCAATCTGAACCAGATGGCATCAAATGAAAGATAGCAAGTGCCCGTTATGAAAATTCATTATTTCACATTATCTCTTTGTTGAGCTCAGAAGTTACACTATCTCTTCCTTTCAGTTTTCATAAAAAGACAACGCAGCCGGGCACATGGCTCACACCTGTAATCCCAGCACTTTGGGAGGCCGAGGCAGGTGGATCACCTGAGGTCAGGAGTTCAAGACAAGCCTGGCTAACATGGTGAAACCCCATCTCTACTAAACATACAAAATTAGCCAGGCATGTTGGCACATGCCTGTAATCCCAGCTACTTGAGAGGCTAAGGCAGGAGAATCGCTTGAACCTGGGAGGCAAAGGTTGCAGTGAGCGAGATCGTGCCACTACACTCCAGCCTGGGCAACAAGAGTGAAACTCCAACTCAAAAAAAACAAACAAAAAAAAAGACAAGGCATCAGTTAACACTATCTCTTCCTTTCAGTTTTCATAAAAAGACAATGCACCATTTTAAGACAGGGTTCCAGCCTTCCACACAAACACAAACACACATTGTTTACTTGGTCTCATTCCATTGCTGATTGTCTTCATATAATGTGTTAAGTTTCTGTGCCTTGATTTTACATTGTTTTGTTTTCATTCTCAAAATAGCATCAAGTCGTAGCACAGCAATCTTAGCCATTTTCTAGAAAACACACTCAAAATACCTGTCTCATTTCACGCAGACAGGGAATAGGAAAGGAGCTCCCTCCCCATGCCTGGTAGTAGCCCTTTGAGTACTACAGCGACCTTGAGTGTTGCTGACTTGGCAAACTATTTATGGACAAGCCTCAGATAGGGAAAATATTTCAAAGGATCTGAAGTACAATCTGAGTCAGGCTAATTTCCCAACCATGATTTTCTAGTTTGGTTAAAGGGAAACAGTTGAGCAGAAAGCAGAAGTGCCCCCAATGGGAGGAAGGTATCTTATGCACGTTAGGTCCTGCTCAGTAAAATTAACCAATTAATCTACCACCACCTTTACTGAAATGCAGACACAGAAACTAGAGAAAAACCATGACGTGGCTATGTGGGTTTGATGCCATCTCACCGGAATCCTACCATGTGCACATCAACCATGGTGACACCAAAGGCAGAAAGACCACTGAGGACACTATGGGGACGGTCACAGGGGCCAGGCCTGAGGCCCCAGCACAAGACACAGGTTCCAGAGTCAGGGAGCAGGGCTCTCCAGCTTTGGGCCACACTTTGCTTCCATTTGGACCGGCCCTTCCTATCATGGCTTATCAATATCCTATTCTTCTTTCAGGGCCCAACTCAAACTCTTCTATGAAACAAACCTGCATTCCCCCAATCAGAAAACATCACTCTCTTTTCTAGGTTCCTTGTTTATATTTCTTAGGAAGGACCCGCCGTATTCTGCCTCTTAATGTTTATGTGTGTACTCAGCGTCTTGCTCCACGAGTCAGCTCCTGGATGTAAGAGCTATGCACCAACCACTGTGCCTGATGCCTGGTATTATCTCTAATCTTCATGACAACCTGCCAAGTAAGTACTGACCATACTTACAGATGAGGAGACAGAGATGAAGTGAGAGCACATAACTGGTCTGAGGACTCTCAGCTAATAAAGGAAGGTTGGAGTCTGAACCAAGCTCATCTCAGTTCACAGCCTGTTGCCCTTTCATATCACGCTTCCCCAAGTGCTTACTAGAAGATACTTAAAGGCAACACTGAAACAACTCAGAACTCGAAGGCTCTCTATCCATACACAGCACTATCAGTCCACTTGGTCACCCTAGTTAGATTCACCTCATTGCATCCCTTTTGTACTCAGCTTTAAAAAAAAAAAAAAGACAGGGTCTGATCTCATACTCCTGGCCTCAAGCAATCCTCCCACCTCAGCCACCCAAAGTACTGGGATTACCGTGAGCCACCACGCTCGGCCCTCAGCATTTATTTCCTATTACGTCACAAAGAAGTGATATGGTTCTCCCAACTGAGAGATTAACAGGAAAAAAAAAAGGCATAACAACAGTTATTTTATGATTGTCAAGGCAATCTAAAAAGAAAATGTCCAAGTAGGCAGGAATGTGGCAAATATGAGAAGAAAATTATAAGATAGTGGGGACCCCAAAGGGGTTTGTATATTCAAGCGAGCTATATAGAAAAACATGAAACTCAAATGTATCAATTCCATGCCTTTGGATACTCGTTTCTTAAAAGTGCTCAAGGATTAAAAGAAACTATGCAAAGGGTGACATAATATTAATACGTTGCATCTATTAGGGTAACAATATTTTTATTGTTGACTTATTTACTGTACTATGTATAGAACCCCTATATAAATATCAATTCAAATAATGGAAGTTCTATACTCAGATACATTCTTTCAAGCATCTCACATTTCATGTGATTTCACCCAAAATTGGTGGCTCTTATAATTAAGAAGAAGGCCTGTTATGTGCCTAGTAACCAGATGCTTTAAGTTCTTGATTAAATCTTATCCTCATAACAGCCTATGAGGTGAATAGTTTATTATCTCTGTTTTACAGATGACCAAACTGAGGCTTTCTAAGGTTCAGACGATGAGCTAAAATCGCACACCTACTAAAGAGGAACTGAGGCTCCATCCCAGAGCTGTCTGGCTCCAAGGCCTAGGATTTTAACCACTACCCACCTACATATCTAACATCAGTATGTTGTTTCCTGAGGTATGTCCTGTCATTTGCTACGATATCACTTTGAATAAGCAATTAGCCTAAACCAATATTGCTAAATGTGAATTATTGCTTCCTATCTTATTATTTTATCTAAAAGATATTTTTAGCTTAATGAACTTATAAATTCACTTCAGTTGTATCTAGTACAATATATCTAGTTGTTATCAATACATCTGAGCATTCTTGTTATTTCCTATTTTTTCCTCTGGGACTTCTTTTTTTTTTTTTTTTGCAGTGGAGGGTGGCCGGGATGGGAATGAGAAAGTGTATAAGGCAAAATCATTTATTTATCTTATTAACTGATTTACAGAAAAGGGCAATAGCTACTATTTAGCAAAAACCTGGCATGTTTGCATTTTACAGACATTGCCTGCAGTCTTCATAATCCTGCTGTATCTCCCCCATTTAATAAGAAATGAAACAGAGGCAAACACCCAGAGACACCCAGGACCATTTCTGTCCAGCAGGTTTTGATTACACACGCAATCTCTGTACCTACAAGCCAAAATAATTCCAGGATTGCTATTTCTATGACCATCTTACACCCACCACTGACATGCGGATTTGAAAAGGGGTTAGCAAATGGTCTCGTAACTCATTAAGAGGATCCCTGGTTTCTTGCCAGTCCCCTGCTAAACAGTCCTAAATGGCAGTTGAGAACGGTAGCAAAACCTCTGGGAAACCATCTCACCCTATGTCCTTATTTCGCAGCAGAGACATCAAGGGCCCACAGCAGGTAATATGACATGTCCAAAGTGACACCGAGCTGGTCGTGCATGGTGGCTCACGCATATAATCCCAGCACTTTGGGAAGCCAAGGCAGGTGGATCACTTGAGGTCAGGAGTTCAAGACCAGCTGGCCAACATAGCAAAACCCTCATCTTTACTAAAAGTCCAAAAAAGTTAGCCAGGCATGGTGGCATGCACCTGTGATCCCAGTTACTCAGGAAGCTGAGGCAGGAGAATCACTGGAGCCTGGGAAGCAGAGGTTGCAATGAGCCGAGATTACACCATTAGACTCCAGCCTGGGTGACAGAGTGAGAGTGAGACTCCATCTCAAAATAAAAAAAAAAAACCCAAAGTGACAGCGAGCAAATGACAAAGCTGGGCCAGCTTCCTGCTCTGTTCCACTTCTCCACTGGAGGCCCACCGTCCTACCGAGGATGGAACCATGCACGGGGGCCAGCAGTCTGTGCTTATACACATCCAGGAAGGAACCGAGAAGTCACCATGCAGCCCAGCCCCGAGGGGACCCCATTGCCACTGGAGTCTGCCTGCCACGCAGAAGCCCACAGGTGCCTGGGACACTGTCAGAGTTACTGGGCCAGTCCTCAAAGGTGGCTATGGCAGAAGCTCAGTGGCAGCCACTGTCCTAACCCTCGCTTTCCCCCAGAGCCTTTCTGACACGGGGAGGAGCAAGGCAAGGCTGCGTGACCTGGGACCTGGGGTCTCATGTGGGTACCAGAAACTGAACAGGTAAAAAGGGAAGGCTTGAAAAACATTTTGTCCCACATTCTACCTTTTTATCAATCACCTAACTTATAAACACTCTCAACTGAGAGGTGGCCTGGCAGAGGGGAAATGGAGTCTGGAGCTAGGCGGGTATGGCTTTGAACTTGAACTGCAAATGTTCAGTTGATCTCTCTGAGATCATTTCATTTCATTTCATTTTCACACAGTTCATTTCATCTCTCCCATCCTCCACTTACCCAGCCATAAGCAACATTCAACTCTTGAAACCACAGTCTACTATGGAGCAAATCATTCTTAAATTCTAGAGTTTACTAGTAGGTTATCTTTAAACTGACAGATTAATATGCAAAGAGCAACAAAGCCTTCCCAAGAAAGCCCTATATTGGTCCCAAGGACCTCACTTCTAACCTGTCATGGAGAAATGATGGAGGAAAAGAGCTGAAAGACAAGGCCCCGGTTGCCAAGTGCCACCCTTCCACTGAAAAATGGCACACCATCTTTCCTGTCTCCAGGGCCTGGTCCATCAGCAGTTTCTTGGTTATCAACTGTAACTACCAATGGGGGAAAACATGCAAAATTTGCTATCTGTTTCTCAGTTCCCTAAAACATGACACACTCCACTCACTGCAACACACTGAAATCACCTTGTATATTCCCCTACTTGGACATTGTATTTATGCAAAATTTCTCTAAAATGGATATTCAGGGAAGCAGGGGACAGTGGGGGGACACCAGCAGGACAAGCTGAAGTATAGTAATTATTTTAGGGAAATGTTAGCAATTCTGTACCAACTTTGAATAAAGTGAAAATTTTACTTTAAAAAAAATGAGGCTAGCAATATCAAAAAATAAACAAAATGAGAATAGCAATAGCAAAGGCACTGGGAAATCATGGCAAAAGATTAAAACTTCATACACTTTTGTGTGCGCATATGTGTGAGTGTGTGTGAGACAGAGAAAAAAAATTAACACCTGGTGGAATCTGAATAACTAGGAGCTTGCCTTAGCCCATCTATTCCTATACAGTATATACTATTCAATAAAAATCTAGCTCATTACTGCTAACTTAACGTCATTTCTGAAAATGCATCATCTCTCATTAACAATAGCCCAGGAGGAAGAAACGGCCCATTAAACAAGCAATGATTTCTCTGTCCAAATCACCAGCAAATATTACTCACCTGATAGATAGAATCTATGATATTCCAGCCATTGCTCAAGCAAAATTACTCATTCCTCGCAAACCTGGCTGGAAGCCTTCTGCATCACACCTGTGACAGTCTGTGGCGGCCTTTTCCAGACAGTACAAAAGAACAGTAGGATGTCCAGGCCACACTGCACAGAGCCTGGGAAGAGCCCTTTAATGCCATTATTCACTGATTTTTATGGCCCAAAGAAGGTAACATAGTATTTAGCAGTATTTACCATTTTTTCTATTTTCTAACTTACAGCCTTCTATTAAGTATGCTCAATTTTCATCAACTATCCACCAATTTTATGAAAACCTCAGTGTACCATCAAACACTTCATCTTTTTCTGAAAACAATCACTCTCTTGGTGAAATGACACACAATGAAAAATAAATTTTAAAACAGTTTGTTTCCTTTAAATAATAAATTGCACTGAAAAAATTATCCATGTAACCAAAAACCACCCATACCCCAAAATCTACTGAAACAAATTTTCTTTTTTAAAGGGAGTGGAGAAGGAAACCTATGGTCTGAGAGGGACCCAAGCAGGAAACATCAGCCAAGTGCACGGTGCAGACATCTTCCGGAGTCTGATGCAAACCAGTGGGTAATGAGATACTAAAGCACTGTAATCTCTGCCGAGCCAGTTGAAGAGAGCAAGAAATTTTGGTGATTTTTCTTGAATGAAATGTAATTTTTTTTTCAAAAGTGTTCTTATCTTCTAGAGATAAGTAATAAGGTATTACAAATAAAATACAATTGAGGTCGAGGGTGTACATCGGAAGAATCTGGGGTAGGGGTGGAGCTAGCAGAAGGTAGGGGTAGAGATGGAGTAGAATTGGCTACAAGTTGACTGCACTTGAACTTGAGCAATGGGTACATGCAGGTTCAAGACACCCTTCTCTCCACTTTTGCAAATTTTTATAATTGTCCATTTTGGAAAAAAAAAAGTTAAAAGTAAATAAAACTTCACAAAACCAACCAAACCCCCCCACATTCACCCTGTAAATATCATTTTCACATCAGACTGAAGAGGACAGAGCGTGTGTGTGTTTATTTACTGGGAGGACTGCCTTAAGGTATGAAATAATATTCAAAGGTCTTTCAAAATTAAAAAAAAAAAGTTAAAAAACCTTGTTGTTCAAGTGAACACTGACATCGGAGTCCATGAAATGCGAAAGTCATCACTCACCTTTTTCAGAGCACAAGCCTTTATGACTTTTTCATATCGTTCCTTTTCATATTTCTTCCCAAATAAAATATTACTCCTCACAGTTCCCGAGAACACCCAGGGCTGCTGAGACACATAAGCAACTCTTCCATGCACGCTGACCAGCCCGTGACTGGGGGCCAATTCCCCGAGCACAGCACTTAACAGTGATGACTGAAACAGATTGTAAAAAAAACACATGTTCAGTCAATACTCGAGACAAGAATAAGTCACTGCAGTGCAGACTTGCCCAGTCCTGGGAGCTTGAAAAACATCATTCATTCATTTAAAAGAGGATCTAGTACAGCCAGGAAATTGTGAATAAAAATTGGAAATAACATTTTGGTCCATATAAACTAGGGGTTTATAAGGAATGTTAAAATAGAGTGTAACAATGTACTCTGCCCTAATGAGTTTCCCTAAATGAGTTTCATTCCCCTAAATGAAATGGTACATGGAACAAAGATCAACTAAGAATGTTTACAGCAACAGGGTAGCCAAGCATGACATATAGTTCATATATCCAATATTGAATGCATTGTTCCTGCATGCAGGTATCCTTTTTGACAAAGAACTAGTTCTAGAAAAGCTATATGTAAATAACATATCCTGGCCAGGCGCAGTGGCTCACGCCTATAATCCCAGCACTGTGGGAGGCCAAGGCGGGTGGATCACTTGAGGCCAGGAGTTCAAGACCAGCCTGGCCAACATGGTGAAACCCCATCTCTACTAAAACTACAAACATTAGCTGAGCATGGTGGCACGCCTGTAATCCCAGTTACTTGAGAGGCTAAGGCATGAGAATCACTTGAACCCGAAGTGGAGGTTGCACTGAGTCTAGATCGCGCCACTGCACTTCAGCCTGGGCGACAGAGCGAGACCCTGTCTCAAAAACTAAACTTACATACATACATGAATAAATGAATGAATAAATAAAAATAAACAATATATCCTGTGCAGTACGAAGGACTTTTATTTTTAACTACCCAAGAATCGTGTCTCTGGAGAGCAAACTTCAATTGTGAAACCGCCCTATTGGTTATATACCTACATCTAGATTTATTGCGTTGCTTTAGAATGCATGATACTAATTCTGTATGCATGTTTCCTTCACATCTTCTACAATGCACAGACGTGACATGTCTGCGCCCCCCACTATTGGAACACTTAGAACATTGAACTGAAATGATCTGTTTGTATATCTGTCTCACCCCAGATACCAGAAACTTCTGGAGGGCAGTGGTGTCTGGGTCTTGATTACAGGTGTATCTTTTACTCCTAACACAGGACTGAACACCTGGCTACAGGTTTATTAAATGTATGTTCATGTGACTTGGAGAAGTCATATCAAAACATGTTTAAAGCTTTTCAGACAAGCCTTCACAACCTCCACGTCTTGTAGCATCTAGGGTTCACTTTGACAAAAAGAAGTTCCCACTTTCTTAGTCAATCCATCCTGCATCGTGATCACGTAAATAATTTCCTTCATGGTGATGTCCAACTTCTAGGAGTTCCCAATTATGCAACTTGAAGAACCAAGAGAAACAGGAGATGCACTGCCCACAGTTACTTGGTCATGTGACCCTTCTTGCAAAACGAATGTTCCATGTACTGAGAAATGCCGTGCCAAGCATACCCAATTCAAAAATGTGTTACATGTAGCCTTGGGCTCAAACCCAAGGAGTTAATATGAGAAGTGGGGTGCGTCAAGCTGCCATAAGCCATTCTAACTCACCTTCCCTGCTCCCACGGGGCCGACCACAGCTAACAATTCACCAGGTCTGACAGTAAAGGAAAGGCCTTGTAGAGTTGGGGTCTCTGATGCCTACAAATTAAAGTTTATAAAATGTGCCCATTTCAATAAAGTCACACAAATCACTTCAAAAAGAGAAGAAAACAATACAATAGTCACTGATACACGAACATAACCCAAATCTTTCTCCTTCCTATTTTAATATATTGTATCCTAGAGTCCTTTTCATAAATCACATTTTTTTTCGTGGGTTTTAAACAGTTTGGAGTCTTCAGTACTTAAGGAAGGCCCATTCTCTTTTACCCGATTTTCATGTGAACACAGCTGCACACTTCCACAAAATTTAGATAGTAACAATGACAAGGCAACCTTCTTGAAATGAAAACTCATGCTAACTTATTAAAACAATTTTTTTTTTTTTTTTTTTTTTACTTTAAGTTCTGGGACACATGTGCAGAACCTGCAGGTTTGTTACATAGGTATACATGTGCCATGGTGGTTTGCTGCACCTGTCAACCTGTCATCTAGGTTTTAAGCCCTGCATGCATCAGGTGTTTGTCCTAATGCTCTCCCTCCCCTTGCCCCCCACCCACTGACAGGCCCCGATGTGTAATGTTCCCCTCCCTGTGTCCATGTGTTCTCATTTAAAACAATATTCTTAATATAATATTCAGTACGGGAGCTTTTCAATCATTTGTAAGTTTTCCTTCTGTCCCTTGGTTTTAATATTCCATTTCATTAACCTCCACAAGGTGGCAGCATGAGTACATGGCATGCTCAGTCCTTGGCTATTAGATGATGTGAAATCTCCACTAATCTCTCCATTTTCACTTGATAAAGCACGAACCTCAGTCACGCCCAGCCAGCAAGAAGGCACTTTATACTATAAAGTCACTCTTGGCAAATGAACTTCTACAAATGGTGGTCAACCCTGTAACCAGAGCTCTAATTTAACAACAACCAAAAACTGAAGAATAATGAAATTAAGTATATGTTCATGGGTAGGAGGATTCCTTGAGCACAGGAGATTGAGGCTGCAGTGAGCCAAGATTGCACCACTGCATTCTAGCCTGGGTGACACAGTGAGACCTTATCTCAAAAAAAAAAAAAAAGTTCTTTTACAGTTTATTATTTAGGAGACCAAATCAAATTCATTACTTTTACAAAGAGCTTCTAAATATTTTCAATCGAGAGGATTAAGTGCGTATCAGGGAGAAGGGACAGTTTACCAGAGCATGACAAACCAAAATGAGGAAGTTTCCTCTTCTCATACAAGGACAATCAATACTTTGAATTGTCTATCTTTTAAAAAAGCAAAAGTCACTTGGTACAAATAAAGAGAGGAATGGTTTTAAATTCAGAGTATAGAACCTCAACCGTAAAAACTGCCAACGATGAGAACTTTTATCCAAACCCAGACATCAACACTAGCAAACAAAAATTGATACTGTTAAGTGAAGTAAAAACAGCTACAATTTGGGAGGAATCCTAAAGGGGTTTAAGTCTCACATTTACAGTCTTCATCTGAATTTCTCGTGGATAGACTGGAGAGACCTGACCATGTGTGTCTGGTGGGTGGGCATTTAGCAAATTTATTTGAGTCCCAAATCCTTTCAGAAAGGGTTATTCTTCCGCACAACACACTTTGGTAAATGCTCATCCATATCCTAGAAAAATGATCAAGAGTGAATCAAAGGCAATGCAGCCTCCTCAACTCTAGAAAAGGATTCCTCAAAATGAATCTGGCATCCCTGAAGGGTGGAACACCCCTGGGATGATGGAAGAGGGAAGCACGCATGAAGTCAACCAACCCGCAACCTAAAGATGCTGAGCTGGCCCAGTCCACAAATGGGTACTCATCAACCCCTCTCCACATCTCAGGTGGGCACGTGCGATTAGTAAAATGCCCAAAAGACAGAAAGCACCGCGGAGGAACAAGAGATCAAGATAACCTTCAAAATGAAAAATTTATCTGGAAACGACTTAACAGTCACACACCCAAATAATCACAAATATTTTTATAAATGGTCAAATACCAAAATATGTGTGTATGTAAACTGACCCCTTATAAATGTGTCCCGTACCATATTATAGTATGGCCACAGACCAAGTCAATCATGATCACTTTTAATCACAAAGAAACTAGCCCCAGATATCATAGGAATTATATAAAAACCATCCAGAAGAGGTTTCTCTACTCCTTCCCACATGCCTATCAACTATGTCTTTTTTTTAAAAGTAATACATTATTACCTAAACACTTGGAAAAAATAACGTTAAACAAAATGTGACCTATTTACACGATTTTGTAAGTGCAAACTTGTCACAAATTCACAAAGTCTTGCTTGACTTAGCCTTACTGTATAAAGTGTTCCTCCTCTAAAATGTAAAGGGTCTACTCTGTATTCCTGATTAAGTAACATTGTCTTTTAAGACAACTGAAACCCACTTATTTCTGTGATTACAAAAGGATGAAAAAACACAACTGGTCAACCTGTCCCTTTCCCCTCCTTTGCAGTGTGTCTCTTTCCTAACAACTACTTCTGATTTTACTTCTTTTTACTCAGTTTTGACTGCAAAAGAGTGAGCCACATGCAAAACCCAGCTTCCCATCACGGCCCTGGTTCTTAGAGCAGGTTTCTGCCCCACCTGGAGGCCTGGGACCCCGCACTGGTGCGCCGCAGCCAGAAGGGGGCAGCACTCGACAGCTCAGAAGGCGAGGCCCCTTCCCTCTGAGACCTCCAGGCTCCAGGACACTAAGGCAGGCAGACTGAGCCCCCACTCTGGGGCCGACCCTATGCTGGGCCCTGGGGCCAGAGCAGTGAAGAAAACAGAAGCAAATCCCTGCCCCATGGAGAGTCACAGGCTCCCACAGGGCCACAGACTTTACAGCTTAGAGATTCAGCACAAGCCCGTTTGTTTTCTAAATGAGACCCTAGGCTGGTGAGAAGACCTTTCCCCCAATACCCACTGGTCTATCCAGCAGGGCTGCTGCTGGGGCCTCTGTCTTTCTCCCGAATCCCAGCCCAGCACACCCTTCTTTCCTCTGCAGCTTCTCTCCAAAAGCCCCAGTGTCTGTGCCCCTCCTCCCACCCAAGCACCCTCTCAGCTGCATGACCTCCCTAATAATCCCTGGCAGCGTGGGGCATAATCACCCCAAGACAAGGCCCAGAAAACAGGGTGGAGTGTTCCGTTTCAATGCAGCTGTCAACGTTGTCTAGGAACTGAACAACAACAAAACAGCCCATTTTACAATGTTGCAAGGTTTGGTACAAAAAAAATTTGCAAATGGGACCTACACAGTGTGTGGTGGCTACCGCAGTGCCTTCCTCTAGCTCAACGGCATTCACCTAGAATGCTTTTTGCTAGTGGATGTTCACAGAGCTTTTCTATCAATGCTTAAAGTGTATTAGAGCTGGGTGCAGTGGCTCACACCTGTAATCCCAGCACTTCAGGAGGCCAAGGTGGGCAGATCACCTGAGGCCAGAAATTCAAGACCAACCTGGACAACATGGCAGAAACCCCGTCTCTACTAAAAATACAAAAATTAGCCAGGCATGGTGCAGTGTTCCTGTAATCCCAGCTACTCAGGAGGTTGAGGCAAGGGAATCACTTGCACCTGGGAGACGGAGGTTGCAGTGAGCCAAAATCACACCACTGCACTAAAGCCTGGGCAAAAGAGCAAGACTCCATCTCCAAAATAAATAAATAAATAAATAAAGTGTATGAGGTGGGAATGCCAGCAGGTAAGGAGAAATTATCCAGTCAGGTGACGTACCTTGTGTGAGTTTCCATGTGCACAAGGTGCAATGATGTTCTATATATTTGGGAACACGTTATTGTTCTGTCGGTCGAGATGGCAAAAATTACATCAGAATTAGGCAAACATGAAACAGGGAGTGTGATACTTAGAGCCAAGGGCATGTAGAGAAAGGAAGAGTCTGGAGTCTAGAGTTTTGACATTTTTCCCACACGAGAGGGCGGAGACAGTGGGGCTGGGCGGGAGTGCTGCTCAACCGCCTATTGGCTCTTGGCTCCAGCAAACTACACTACAACTCAAGGTCAGCCACGAAGAGCACCCGGAGAGGGGAGGAGCTGGTCACCACCAGCACTGCCCACCTGTTTTAAGCAGTCCAAGCGGTCCCAGCGCCCTCAGAAGAGACCCTTGCCCTCTGATCCGAAATCTTGCTGGCAGCCGGGCCACTGGGCTCTGCTCCTGGCAGACATCATCTCCAGCCCCAGGGTGCAGCTTCCTGCCATGGCTGGTCTCAGGGTGGCCTCTTCCACCCCTGCTTTCCCTTTGTGCTCTTTCTTTCATCCCCTATGTAATGAATTCTCTGCACGAAATTCCCTCTCCCATGCTGTATGTTCTGTTTTCCAGACTAACACAGACTGAGACAAGTGGATTTGCAGAGGACCCCGGACTCAGGTGAGCATAACCACAGAACCAGTCCAATCTGGTTCAACTCTGCATAATAACATAGTAAACTGTTTTTCAGTTGCCATGCATCCCAGGTTGCAAGTTATGTAATCTGAGCATTTCCAGATGAACCAAGCACACAACCATGGGCAGAACCCAAGTGCTGGGACCAAGGAAGGAGGAACGAGTTCAGAGCGGACACCTCATGGCCTGATCCAGGATGCGATCAGATCCAGCCCCGGCATCACTTCATTGCAAGAACCAATCGGACCACGCCTCATTACCCTCTGCCTGTAAAACCTGCCCCATCCCCCAGCTAGGGAAGACAAATTTGCGCGTTGCCTCCTGTCTCCTTGCCATTCGACTTACAATGCAGCCTTTCTTTTCATGAAAAGCTGGTGCCATAGTAGTGGCTTCTATGAGCATTGGGCAGGGAGCCCACTGCTTCCTTGGAAGCATAAGGAGGGCCCTGGAGTTGTGGGTAACAGGAGATACACCGAGCCTAAGTACTTCCTGTGGGTGGCCCCTGCTGTTGTTCCCGTTTGCCTAAATGTTATGAGTAAACCAAGTGCTGAAAAATCCTTGTGGCCTTGCCTGAACTACCTGTCCGCTTACCACACAGTGAAACCCTTCAGTCAGGAATCCATGGAGCTTGCTCCGCCAGCCTGCAGCCTCCCCTCTGCCTTGGGCTGCCACCAAAGCAGCTGACAACATCCAGGTGCTTGGAATAGGGGAGCCCCAACCCAACCCCGTGGCAAAAATCCAAGTCATGGGCTTTCTCAATATGTAATAAGATGACCTGAAAACAGTAAGGTGAAAATGTGCACTGATACCTCAAAGTCTCTGTAATAATTTACAATGTACTCAGCAGTTAACCCATTCCATGCTGCACCCCAGTCTGTCCAATCCTATAAAATCCAATGTTGCCAATGTCCAAACACTGACATTTAGTTTAGAATGAGGTAACACTTTCATTGGTTTTTTGAAAATGAGATAAAATACAAGTTGTCAAATACCTAAGTCTGATTTCATACCTACTTTCTATTAATTGCAAAACTTACTCCTAATTTTGAGAATCTTTGTAACATACTTACAGTAAATGAGCAAGCCATATGTTATACCATGTGTAACACCTCAAAATTCTGTATTAAATCAATGTCACTCATTATCTACTAGCAGTCATGATCTTGCAATTAAGGATATTGTTACCTTATCCCAAAAAGCAGTAAAGTCCTGCACATGCACCATCTTTTTACCATCTGACGGTGGCTGACGGTTACGCTGCAATATCTCATCAAGTAGCAAAAAGTTCTAAAGAAAATGGGAAAAACACAGATTGTTTAAATTACAGAAACAAAAGCACAAACAAAAGTCACTGCTTCCACGGAATTTGCAACATAAAACTTTATACAGCCTACAGATCATTTTACCAACCCTATTTAAAGTATCGGTTCATATCAGCATATGATATTTATTTAATAAATAAACATATAAAGAGTTCATGGCCATGAACTATCTTTGTAATTTTAGGAGCTATCTGTGTAATTTTTTTCAACAAGTACACTGGTTCCTAAATAAACTGAAAATACTGCTCTGAGGTTGAGCGCATTTACAGCCTGCATATTTCTACTATTGCACCTTTGTGTTACTAATGGTGAACACGGGAGTTGGTTGGAAATGATCTGATGAATATTTCATGAACCCTCATCGTGTGCCAAGCCCCACGCTAGATGCTGGCAACATGAAAGTCAAGGCCATTTCCAGCCTTCAGAAAGCGAGTTAGCCCGGAAGGGCAGGCAGCAAACACAGGGCAGAGCCTCTGAAGGCAGCTCTGGCTCTGGCTGGTCACTTAGATTCAACTGGCCTTTCTCAAACTCCCTCGTGCATGTCAAATTGACATACAACTTATTCACTATCACTAAGTCAGTGTTCTTTACCAAAAAAAAAAAAAAAAAAGGCTTCTATCTCTTAAAACATATTTTATAAGCTTCTTTTCAAAATAACTTATTGTTACATATAACAATATATATATAACATATATTATATATATATATTTTGAGACAGTGTCTCTCTCTGTCGCCCAGGCTGGAGTGCAGTGGCACAATCTCAGTTCACTGCAGCCTCTGCCTCTTGGGTTCAAGTGATTCTCCTACCTCAGCCTCCCGAGTAGCTGGGATTACAGGCATCTGCCACCATACCTGGCTAATTTTTGTATTTATACTAAAGATGGAGTTTTACCATGTTGGCCAGGCTGGTCTCCAACTCCTGGCTTCAAGCGATCTACCTACCTTGGCCTCCCAAAGTGTTGGGATTACAGGCGTGAGCCACCGTGCTCCACCTACACTTATCTTTTTCCTTAGTCAATGCCTCCTCCTAGACAGCAGGAATAGCCCAATCTCTCGCTTATTGCTATTTTCCATACTAGTTAGCAACTACACAATGCAATTTAACTGAATAAAACAAAGTCCTGCTAACCATAACAAACCTAACATAATTATATGTAGGAAAACTCCCTTTTGCTCCTCAAATGGTAGGTATAACTCAATGAGAGAAGCTACAGTGGCTTAGAAACAGAATAAACAACCTAGATCACCCCTACCCCATCCAAAATTTTGTAGATGTGGCAAAAGCTGTCAGCTCTCCTCAAAATCTGCTCTCATTTTCTGTGATTAACAAAACTCCCAATTTTTAGCCAATGCACAGCAGCCTTGAACAAGGACCACTCTCTCCAGCCCCTAACGCAGTTAGATGTAGTCGCATGACTTAAGTTCAGCCCAACAGAAAATGACAACGTCCAGGAAACTTCCTATACCCCAATGTCCAGTCCTTGGAAGCTGCCTGGACAACTTCCCCTCCAAAATCCAGGTGGTGAAACTCAATGGCCAATGTGATGGTATTAAGAGGTATTTAGGCCATGAAAGCTCCTCCCTCATAAATGGCATTAAGGACTCTGTAAAGGAGGCTTTGGGCAGTAGGCAGCCCTCTAAGCCCTTCCACTTTCTGCCCTTTAAGGACACAGCATTCCTCACATCTGGAATATGGAGCATCAAGGCACCATCTACAAGCAGAGAGCAGGTCACTAGAAAACTGAACCTGCCAGTGCCTTGATCTTGGACTTCCCAGCCTCCAGAGTGGTGAGAATTTCTGTTTTTCATAAATTACCCAATCTGTAATTTATGTTTACCCATCATAAACAGACTAAGACACCCCCAAAAAAGATAAAGTCATAACCTCAGGACCTCAAAGGTTGACTGTATTTGGAAACAGGAGTGTTACAGATGTAATTAGTGAAGACGAAGTCATACTGGAAAAGGGAGGATCCTAAATCTAACATGATCAGTATCTTTCTAAGAAAAGAAGAGAGAGACAGAGAGAGACACACAGGCAGAAAACAATCAAGTGATTAGGACACAGACGAGAGGGATGCAGCTGCAATCCAAGGACTGCCAGCAACCACTGGAAGCTCAAAGCGGCAAAGAAAGATTCTCCCCTGCAGGCTTCAGAAGGAGCCTGGCACTGCTGACACTGTGATTTCAGACATCCAGCCTCCAGAATCATGAGAGGCTCAATTTCCATTGTTTTCAGTCACAGTGTTTGTGGCACTTTGTTCCAGCAGCCCTCACAAACTCACAAGGAAACTTATGAGGATTTTGCATGAGAAAAATAAACCACCTTGTATAAATGGCTATTACACGAGTATTCTGCAAACACTGGCAACTCTGAAGCAACTGAAATGAGCATGGAATATGTTTTGAGACAGAGAAAACAACACTTATATAAGTCATCTACTACTCTAAAATTTGTCAACATCCTTTGAGCCCTTAAAATTTCTGTCTATCACTTCACATTTGACTGCAATGTTACACTTCAAAAGAACAAAAACTGAAAATGAAAACCTTCTTCCATGCAGGAAAAGAAAGATACTTTCCTTTCTTCTATATAGGAAAAGAAAAAAAATCAGTATTTCTCTCAAAGACCCAGCAAGCAGAAGATGCGGTCTATTCTTCTGCTCCCTCACTATCCACCCACCAGCCTTACTGAGAGCCAACTTAGGAGTGGGCACTGCTGGTCCTCCCTGTACAAGCCCATGTCTGGCATGGCAGAGAGGGCAGACAGATGCTGGCCTGAATGTTCTGCTGTAGGCTTAACCACAGCATCTCTGCTTCCTCCTCCCATACCACCTATTCCAGGGTCAATGAGATAAGAATCTGGGCCTAATTTGCCACAGTTCACTATTCCTCAAGAAATGACCCAGTTGGGCCAGGCGTGGTGGCTCACGCCTGTAATCACAGCACACCGGGAGGCCGAAGTGGGCAGATCACTTGAGGTCAGGAGTTCGAGACCAGCCTGGCCAACATGGCGAAACCTCATCTCTACTAAAAATATAAAAATTAGCCAGGCTTGATGGCACACGCCTGTAGTCCTAGCTACATGGGAGGCTGAGGTATGAGAATCGCTTGAACCCGGGAGGCGGAAGTTGCAGTGAGCTGAGATGGCACCACTGCACTCCAGCCTGGGCAATAGGGCAAGACCCTGTCAAAAAAGAAAGAAAGAAAGAAAGGAAAGAAAGGAAAGAAAGGAAAGGAA